GGGCTGCCGTGCCAAAGCGTCACAAACTGGGTAGCTTTAATAACAGAAATTTATTGTCTCACAGTTCTGGTGGCCAGAAGTCTAAGATCAAGGTGTCAGGAGGGTTGGTTTCACCTGAGAGCTGTGAAGGAAGGATTTGTTCTAAATCTCTCTCCTTGGCTTGTAGATGACGGGTTTCTCCCTGTATATCTTCACATTGTCTTTTCTCTGTGAGTGTCTATCTGTCTCTAAATGTCCCTTTTTATAAGGACACCAGTCATATTGGATCAGAGCCCACCTAACTACCTTATTTTAACCTGATTACTTTTGTAAAGATCTTGTCTCCAAATAAGGTCACATTCTGAGGTACTGGGGGTTGGGACTCCAACATATTTTTTGGGGGGGTGGAATGGGACCACAATCAATCTATATCAGCAGTGTAATATACAGGTAAGGGCCCAGGTCTGCATTCTAGCTCTGACATTAATTAATTATGAGACCTTGGTGTACCTCATTACCTTCCCTTAAATGAGGATAAAACAGATGGTACCTGCCTCATACTATTGTGAGGATTAAATGAATTAATGCATGAATGAATTAGAATATTGAGTTAGTACAATACATGTCAAATATTCATTCACTCAACAAATAGTCTTTGAACACCTATTAAGTGCAGGTCACTGTTCTAGGTGTTAGAGATACAGGAGAAAACAAAATAGGCAAAACTTTTTAACTTTATGGGGTTAATAATCTAGTGGGAAAAGAAAAACAAAAAGTAGAACATATAGGGGGAGGAAAAAAATGGCATAGATGATAGAGGCTCTGTTCATCCCTCTGGCGACTAAATCAAAGTTGTGATGGAAACAGGGAATAAAAAGTAAGGAAAAATCACCTGGAATCTAGATGAACAAGCCATACAACTAGGGAGAAATCCAAGAAATCACCCTGCAAGGATGGGGCAAGGACGCGGGGCGACCCGGTTGAGTGAGGTGGAGGCTGTGGCAGCGGCAGAAGCCTCTTAAAGGGGCCGTGTCCAAGAGTGAATTTTTGTGGTGATGGAGCTGATTGCTCTGAGTACCAGTGCTGATTGGACTGTGTACAGGGGCACCAGGGACTTACAGGGAGACATTGTTGGAGTGAGGGCCGAGGTGAGACACGCTCTGTACAGAAGTTCCTGAGCTATCCGTTGTTCCTTGTTGAGCCCTCCCCACTCCCAGTGCAGGGACACAGTGCTGCCATAGCCAAGATGTCATCAAACTAGATAACAGGGGTTGCTCCATCCAGAGGATTCCCTGAAACCCCGCCTCCCCCTACTCGTGGCCCCACCCAAGCCACATCCAGGTTTATCCTCAGCGAGTCAAGTGTTCCTTGCTCAGCAGCGCCTAGACTCACACTGGAGGCAGTGGGCCTTGGTTTCTGGTGTGGCCTTTTGAGGCAACTATAAGCACAGCATCTATGGCTTGCTTGCTGAATCTTAACAGGTGGCCCCGAAGGGGTGGAGACTTGGGCTAAGTTTGACCTGCAGCTGAACCACTCTCAGGACTGTGCCACTGGACACCTACTACACAAATCCACACTAATAAGACCGGGAGACTTAGGAGCTTTGCTTAGTACA